GGAGTACCAGGTGCTGCTGGACGTGAGGGCCCGGCTGGAGTGTGAGATCAACACGTACCGGGGCCTGCTGGAGAGCGAGGACTGCAAGTGAGTATCTCGCGGGTGGCCCCTCCTGTTGGACACTTGCATGGCTCTAATAAAGAGGAAAAGAGAGACTTTCCAGTTCCAGTTTCAGATCTCACTGTGCCTGTGGAGGCCAGAGTTTTATGTTGCAGCAGTAGGAAATGTGAGGTATTTTTGTTAGAATTTCCCAGATCAAAGGCATTTTCTGTCCCAAAAGACACTCAGGAGACTCGAATGTTTTTCACTGGTGATTCTTGTGATGACAATAGGTAGATAAAGCCCTCTACCTGCAGCGTAGGCTTGTTACAGACAAAGGCAAGCTAATTAAGAAAATATATTTAAGTAGTACTTTGCAATGTAATCAATTGCTAGAATCATCTGAGACAAGAGTGGAAATCAGCTCCTTTTCATAGACAAAAGCATTGTATATCAAAGCCAGAAGATGATTACCAGCACACAGCACTTGATAAATTATATTTTTATCAACTTGATGTCATTCAATTTTTTCCATAATTGTTTTAGAGAGGTATTAATCAGCCCATCTGAGGCTCAAAAGGATGAAAGGATTTTCCCTTATTCCCAGGATTATAGTGAAATCTGGGAACTCCACACACACTTCTTCTGTCACCATATCTGAGTTTTGTAGAGTGGTTTACTAAGCCTTTGCTTCCTAAGACTTCAGAGATAGGGTCTGATGGTTCCAAAGTATCCTTGGGCTAAGCTTCCCACACTCCCCTCTTTTGACTTTATGGCCTCTGAAAACCTGCTGGAGGGTCAACTATTGTGTTTGAGTTTTTTGAATTCTTCTATTGATTATATAATGATTCTTTTCCCAGGCTGCCCTGCAATCCCTGTGCCACAACCAATGCCTGTGACAAGCCCATTGGACCCTGTGTCACGAATCCCTGTGCACGTTCCCGCTGTGGGCCCTGCAGCACCTTTGGGTACTAAATGTCTTGGGGCCATCAGGAGATTGAGTAAGGATGATAGAGTCATCAGTGGACCAATTCTACTCTGACAACCGTCAGGGACAGTGATAGCTTTAAGGCCCTCCAATAAATCTGGGTAGTGGAGGAAGATGAACCAGGCTGACCTGATTTCCTTTCTTGCAGAACTGTTTTCTAGTTGTTCTGTGTCCTGATGGCCTGACAAGTTGGAGCTCCGTAGGTGCCCCCTGACATGTTTTGTGGTCCTCTTTGCTGCTTGAACATTCCATTCTAGCAGCTCCTCAAATCCCTTTGTAAATCTCCTAATAAACTTTCCTCTTGCAAAGCAGAGTTGATTCTCATATTCATTCTTTTTAAAGTGTTACCTGTGTGTGCGTGCCTCTTACAAAGCCACTTAAAAGCAAGGAGGGACTTTATAGGGCAGTCCTCTCCTAAAAGACCTGCAAGCACCATTAATTAACATTCATTGAGCACAATGAGATCAGCATCCTACTAGGACAGCCTGGGACCTGTGGGGCCACTTAAGCAAGAAGTTTCATTTGAATATGATGAGCACATTCATTATGGAAAATTACTTAATACAACGGGCAATATTCTACAAAACACTTCTTCTCTTCCATGTCCTGATAAAAAATCTTACTAAGAACCAGGAATTATGCTACTCATTTCCTCCTGTTCACACAGTGTGTCGTTGTGCTCTGAAGACCTAGTGGGTAATGAGTTGGTCTGCCAACCCAAAGGCAGGCAGGTCAAATCCACTAACTGCTCTGAGGAAGAAAGACAGGCGATATCCTCCTGTGTAATAGACTGAGTAAGTAACAGCACTTGGACTAAAGCTCATTCACTAAATGTCATTTATACAATGAGGTGTGACAAGTGAGAATAAAACTGATTTCAAATGATTATACAACAAATTGGCATTTTCCTTTAAAATCGTCCTTTGGGAGAAACCATAACTGCTACCCAAGCAGATATATGCACACCCATGTTTATTGCGGCTTTGTTCACAATAGCAAAAGTTGGAAACCCAAGTGCCCAGAGAAACTGTGGTATATGCACACACTGGAATTCTATGCTGCCTTGAAAAACAAGAAACTCAGGAAATATTATACAAAATGGATGACTCTGGAGGACATTATGCTGAATGAAATATCTCAGTCACAAAAGGACAAATACTGCATAGTGCCACTGTTGTAAAACAAGACTGACATCAGGGTTGGGGGGAACGTAAGAAAAGGGGATAAATAATGTATACTACATTGAAACAGATGAGGGAGAGAACTGTTTAAAAGGGATATATGATTAAGTATTATTTTCATGACAGGAGTCCAGAATAAGAGCTGCATAGTAAAGTGGACTTGGCTGGGTCGGGAGGATAACAATGAAATGATTTTTTTTTTCTGCAAAGAGAAGAGCAAGAGGAGGGGTGGGTAGGGAGGAAAGTGTGCAACAATGTATGAATGGAAATCCAAAGTCTTTGTAAACTTTCATTAAAATAATTTCAAAAAAATTGCCCCTTGGGGAGGCATGAAGCTGTTAAGACCCCATACATTTCTGAAATCCTCCTTTGGTAAATACATTTAACTGAAGAACTCATGATAAGTAGCCAGGTCTTACATCTGAGTAGGAGTCAACAGATTTTAAGAATGATCATATTCTCTTATCGATATTCAAGTTACTAACCACTGAGATTAAATTTAAATCTGGGGAGAGCCCTTTAAGGTTATTTAATATTAACAAAATATGCTGTTAAGTCTATGGTCTCCATCCACACTGCAAGGGACAGCTACCATGTGCTCTGCTTTACTGGTGACGGAAATCAATGGCTCTCATCACTGTGTGTGCTGCGCGGTTGGTGCCACAGCTGCATTCTAGTGCTTGGTCTAAATGCTTAGTTATGTTTTCTGTCCTGGAGACAAAGCAGATGCTTTCTTCACCTGATGTGACAGTGTTATCTCAAATGTGACTAAAATCCTCACGCTTTCACGTTCTAGTTTTAAAATGTTTCTTCCTTGGTTGTTGGTGTTGTTGGAGCTCTCTTGTCCAGAGCTCAAGCACAAGACCCCGGAAGATGATCCGAGAGACACTCCACGCTAGGCCCACAGTCTCCTGGATCCAGTGTGTATACTTCAGACCCACTTCCCTCAAGTTGAGTTCATTCCCAGGAGTTGTCTCCATCCTTCTACAAATGGACCGGTGCCCAATCAGTCTGTAAGTGCTTGGTAGGGGTAGGGTCTATGATCTCCAAATAACTACTCAGCAGCTGCTTTACTGGGAGAAGGTGCCTCCCAGTCACCTTGTTCCATGCCTTAGCAAGTAAGAATTCCAATTTTGCAACACAATAAATATATTTTACTCTTACTGTTTGGTGTGTGAAATATTAAATGAGTATCTATGCTTGATGGGGCTGTGTCAGTGGTAAATGGGGTGAAGGGAGGTGGTCCCAGGTCCTTGCCTCTCACATGCTGCTTTCTATTTGGTCTTCTTTGACAGGAAAGGAAAAAAAAATGTGTCAGAGAAATAACTCTTTCACGTGGAAAGTCAATCTCGTTTCTGAGATGTGGGAGTAGAGTTTAGTGTTCCTATTCATGTCACTCAGCAAAATCCACAGATCCTAAGGTCTATTGCTGACACCATTGCGATAGATATCCTACGATTTCCCATCTAGCATTTCAAATCCACGCTCCTTATTTTACATAATTAATAATAAATATTTCAAACCTGTTAAAACTACAGGTACACCGTTGCTGTAGCCATCAGGAGATGCTCCAGGAAGGTGTAGCAGTGTCTTTGGCTGAAAGTGACTGAGAGCCCTTTGTCTCGGCTGTTTGCTGGCCATAGTGTTCAGCCGCCATCTTCTTGATTTGTTTTCTTGCTATTGTTTTTACAGCCTCCAACATGCACTCAATATCATCTTTTAAAAGTGCGTGGTCGCAGCAAAGCATTAAATTACTTAAGTGGATATAGTTGCATCGTGTCCCCTCCCCCCAAATCCTCAACAGTGTCAAACTTAGACATGGGACAAATGTTTACTTACCAAATTGTGCCTTTCATCATTATTTTACTGCCTTCCATCATTTTAAAAACAATCAAATCATCCATCTACTCGGTAATGGATGTGGAATACTGTGTTTTAGGTTAGCAAACCCCTGATTAAATTCTGTTTTCTCTTCCTCAGAAGGCAAGGGTTTAGGAGTAGGAGTGATTTCCTGTTCTGCAGTCACCGTGTCCAATCAAGCTGTATAAGTTTTTTTTTTTTTAAATAAAATTAAGAAGTAGGGAGCTCTGGTGGCCTAGTGGCAAGAAGCTGCACTGCAATCCCAGAGGTACGTGGTTTGAATCCACCAGATGCTCTGCTGGAGAAGGAGGGGCAATCTCCTCCTGTGCCAGTCATTCGATTTGACAGTACACACACAAAATAATAAAATAAAATTTAAAAAAATAAGAAATGTTACTCTTCCTATTTTCTTCTTTTCTAAGATTGTTTTGACTATTCACCATCTGTATGTTCCCATTAATTTTAGGCTCAGTTTCTGCAAAAAAGCCAGCTGGATTTCAGAGTGGATTGCACTGAATCTGTAGATCAGTTTGGCCACTTAAATAGCAAGCCTTTTATCCATGAATATGGGCTGTCTTCCTATGCCTGTAGATTTTCTTTAATTTCCTCAATAATATTTTTAGTTTTTAAGATTTTTTATTTTAAATGTGTAGAACAGTTGTTACCATAAGCCGTTGCACCTCCTGGTCACAGGTGCTTCGATTCCTGTGGGATGTGTTGTAAACAGAGGAGGAAATATCTTATTTTTTTAAATTCTATTGTAAATGGAATTTCCCCCTTAATTTCATTTTCAGATTGTTCACTCTAAGTGCTTTTCTATATGATTTTGTCTTCTGTTCTCATGTCTCTACCCTAATTTATCTTTTTCCAAATTTAGGCTATTTCATAAACCCTAACTATGAGCAAGAGGAAAGAATTTCTTCCCTTTTGGGTTAAAAATTTTCCATTTAAAAATAATATTGTTGGGTAAAATGACAACTTTAGGTCTCTTGTTCTAGAAATTCTAGTCTTCATTGAACTTGGAAATTATCTCCACAGGAGAAAAGGACACCATTCTTTCCTATGTATGTTAAGTGAGCTAACACTTCACGGAGAGGTACTCAAGTGGCATAGTATTTCTCCAAGGGTTTTTGCCCTTTTTCTTTATCTGAAGTTCAGACTGTAGGTCAGTCACTTCATGAGCTACAGGCTGCTTGATGCCACAGGAAGTGTGGTTTCCCTTCATCATTTCTCAACATCTCACTTTGGAATTGGCAAAGTCAACAGTGGTCACAAAGGTGTGAATGCCAATCATGACAAAGGTTTTATTTCCAGGATCATAAGCTCAAGCGTAATTTAGTCATTATATTGGAAGAGTCACTTTACTGGGCTTCTTTTACAACTCTGCCTCTTTAGAAGACTTGGAAGAATTTCCTTTTTGAATTTTTAATGTAAAGTTTGTTTCTTTTCCCTATGATGTGTAATTTTGTTTTAGTTATCTAGAAACAAGAAAACAAGGAGAAAACTTCAACAACTTCATCTTACTTAGATCCACAGTCAGTGGAGTGCTCTTGGTACCAGCAGTCAGGAAATCAGGAGACATATTGTACTGGGAAAGTCCGAGTCAGAAACTTCTCCAAATTTTTGAGGAGCAATGATGTTAGCTTGATGTCCAAGGGTGCCTGGTAGTCTTTTCAATCACTTGCTATGCATCTGAGATCTGGACAATGAATAAGGACTACAGAAGATGCCTTTGAACAGTGGTATTGGAGGAATGCTGAAGATAACATAGACAGCCAAAAGAACACACAAATATATCTTGGAGAAGGTACAGCCAGAGTGCTCTTTGGAGGCAAAGATGATAAAACCATCTCACATACTCTGGATATGTTGCTAGGGGAGGCTATTCTTTCAAGAGGGACATCATGCTTGGGAAGGTGGAGGGACAGTGAAGAAAAGGAAGACCCTTACAGGTGGATTGACACAGTGACTGCAGCAATAGACTCAAGTGTGTCAGAGATTGTGAGGTTGGCACAGGATAGGACAGGGTCAGATCTGCTGTTCATAGGGTTGCTATGAATTGTACTCGACGGCCCCTAACAACAACAGTTACCTATAACAGAAGGACTATAAATAGAGGGTTACAAAAACCAAAATGTGTTCTCTCACGGAAGGCTAGCAGTCCAAATCCATGGACCAGCTCTAGGAGAGACTTCCTCTCTCTCATGATTCATGATTTAAGAGGAAAGTCTGTATCCTTTCAACACCAGCAGGCTCTCCATTCCTTAGGGGTCTGCATGTACCTTGGCGTTAATCTTCCCTTAGATCTAGGAATTTCTCAGCACAGGGAGCTGGGTCCAAAGAACTCTCTCTTTTTCCCTCTTGGTAATGGCAATTCTCTGTCTTTGTTATCTTCTCTCTTTTTATTGCGTATAGGATGGAAGGTGTTACAGGGACACCCTAGGGAAATTCCCTTTACATCAGATCAAGGCTGTGATCTGTGATGGGATTAAGAGTGTTGCATCTCATCCTTAATTCTTCCAAAATTTACTGCTTTATCACATCAGATCACATCCTGAGGGAATCATTATATAACAGCTACATTACAACATTACACAACTACCAAACCTCCGAGAATGACGATCCAATCAAGTTGACACATGTTTGTGGGGGACACAATCCAACCCATGACAGTTTCCAAAAATTTGGAGAGAGCAAAATAAGCATAAAGAAACCAAAACCAAAACAAAACATCCCGTAAACCTTGTACTTAAAAGCATCCAGAGACAACATTACAGTGTGGGTTTTCCTTTCATAGTCTTCATTGTTAAACTTACATAATTTTTATTGTATTAAGAACTTGTCTATTTTAGGATAAAGCTTACGTTTACCTTCTGCAAACAGATTCGCAGGGTTTTTCATGGTCTGTTGCCTACTTCTTCCACCACTCTCATCAGTTACTCCCTGATTCATGTCTTCCTTATTTAGCTCTCTTCAGTTCACAGTATCTAAATCACCCACTTGTTACATATCATCTCCTATTTCAGATTATTGTTTCACATTCATTTGTTCATCCACTTAACACATTGAGTATCTGCTGTATATCCTATGCCTTGATCTGGGGATTCAAGACGAATTAGACCCAGCTTTTGCTTTCAGAGAACAGAGAGGGAGGAAGGGGTCAGGGAAGAGGAGAAAGAGAGAGAGCGAGAGAGAGAGCGCAAATGAGAACTAAGAAGAGAAAGTGGTGGTCTTGTCTGAGGAAGTTTTCAATGGAGTTAGTTAGGTCACTTATGTTTGTGAAATACAGTATGGTGGGAAGAGGATAGACCTATGCTGGTATGTTGGGTTCACAGTGTGTTAAAGCCTGCCTTCCAAGCCTCAGTGTGATAATCTGTAAAATGGAATAATATTATCCATCTCCAGGGTTTAAAATGAAGAGAGGTGAGTTAGTGTTTGAGGAAAGTACTGCATCATTTCAGCCCTTTCCATCTTGGCCCCACAAACGTGAAAGCTTTCATTTCTTCAGATTTGATAGTGACAGTGAACCTACTTTCCATTCTCCATAGAGTCTAGTCCACTGTATAAGCTATGATCCAGCAGATGTCTGTTATTTAGCTACTGAAATTTTAAGAACAAAGTAAAGCCTGCAAGCCCCCTTCTCCCCCACTCCGCACCAGGAACCTGCCATGGGGAGCGAGGCTGCCTGACTTGTTTGGAAGTGAGCAGATCCTCTTTTCCAGAACCAGGTGATTGGAGGTGGTTCGTTTGACTTAGCAAAAGACACAAGAGCCAGAGCCACACTAAGCTGTTCCATCAAGAAGAGCGAGAGGCTTGCCAAGGAACCAAGGCCCACCAAGCCAAGCAGCAGCCCCGTCCCTGGCCTGCCACACCCCACTAATGAGGAGGGACAGGCCTTTCATGAGTCCAGCTCTTTGAAGCCACACTGGGAAGCTCTTACGCAGAGCCTGCCAGAGGAGTCCTGACTTAGCGAGAAGCCCAAGTAAAGTCTTTTATGAGGCGAGGGACTCTTCTGAGGAAACACATAACAAACTGAGGGTGAGGGCTTCTGACAATTACCAAACGAGTAAAAAGGTTAAAAAAAGACTGCCCTCCATGTCCACACCCTCTGCAGAGTGGGTATAAAGGCTCCTGAGAGGAAGGAGACCCATACGCTCTGAGAATTCGAACTCTGCTTTCAGCCAGGCACTCCCCTCCTTTCCAGCGCCATGCCTTACTCCTGCTGCCTGCCCAACCTGAGCTGCCGCACCAGCTGCTCCTCCCGGCCCTGCGTGCCCCCCAGCTGCCACAGCTGCACCCTTCCCGGGGCCTGCAACATCCCCGCCAATGTGGGCAGCTGCGGCTGGTTCTGCGAGGGCTCCTTCAACAGCAGCGAGAAGGAGACCATGCAGTTCCTGAATGACCGCCTGGCCAGCTACCTGGAGAAGGTGCGGGACCTGGAGCGGGAGAATGCGGAGCTGGAGTGTCGCATCCGTGAGTACTGCCAGCAGCAGGAGCCCTACGTGTGCCCGGACTACCAGTCCTACTTCCGGACCATCGAGGAGCTCCAGCAGAAGGTGAGGGGTGGGCCCCACACTGCCTTCTTAGTGGGAAGTTGTGGAGGGAGCACCTGAGATGCAGCTAAGAGACAACACCAGCGTTCTGTGTGGTTCCAGTGCAAAGGTTTTTGTTTCTTGATGGACTATTCCATTCCGTTCTAGGTCCAGGTCTGTTAGGTCTGAATATTAGCATAGAATTAGTCTACATAATATTTGCATAGTGTTAGTCTGTGGTGGTAAGAACACTTTGCATAAAGAAGCTGTAATTATAAGCTGCCTTCTGAATACTTCCATGCATTCATTCACCAGGCTCCACAGTTACTGCCCTGAGGTCAGAAAAGCATTAGGCCCCAGAAGGAAGTGGAGAGAGACTGCACTCTCTCCTTTATGTGGGCATTTGAAAACTTGTGACTCCTGGGTGCCCTCCTTTTTTGGAACCAAATTAACATTGCTTCACTGTCCCAATGGAGATATGACTGGGGTTTACCTAATACTGTGAGGGTGTAAGGTGGATGGGCAAGACTAGAAACTACCAAATAGTTCCAAACCATCAGAACCATCACTCCCTGAGTGAGTCCCTTTCAATCCTTCCCATTCAAGTCCTTGTTGTGAACTTGGAACCAACTCATAGCTGACTCTGTAGGTCACACAGGAGGAGACTGCTCATCTTCCTCCCATGGAATCGCTGGTGGATCCAAACTCCATGGGCTTTGGGTTACCAGTGCAACTCCCAGGGGAGAATGCCACCATAGCTCCTCTGGTTCAGCCTCTAGTTCACAGATTTATACTCCCCACGTGCTTGGACATTTCTTGAAGACCTAATCTAGTTTATACTCATTTTTTTATTCTGGCACATAATAGGTGGTTTAAAAAGATTAATTATTGTGAACTGCTAAGTATTGTTTCGTGGGAAAAAAGAAAGGTTACCTACTGATATTTTTATGGTTTATTTCCTTGTTCTTGTGTTTGTTGGTTTGGTCTTTGATTGTAAATGAGCAGCATTTAATCACTTTACATAAGCCATACTGTGAATTCTTGGCAAGCTCGTTTCATATAAGCAGATTAGTAAGGTTGCTGTTGGCTAAAAAAATCACAAAGCCCTTGCTCATTCTAGAATGTTTTGGGTCTTTCAGATCCTGGGTAACAAGGCTGAGAACGCCAGGCTGGTGGTGCAGATCGACAACGCCAAGCTGGCCACGGATGACTTTAGGACCAAGTGAGTGAGCACCTAAGGCCTCACTCATCCTCATTCTCCCCCTTCCTCTCCTTATTCTGTTGTCCACACAGATAAAATGAGAAAGCTTTTCCCCTAGAGAATGGTAGACCAGCACCCAGAGTCTTTTCTCCAGCTCTCCTCCTGCTTCTTATTTGTAAAACCATGTCCCTGAACCACATTACAAGTCACAGTGGATGCCACGGTCTGCAGATGCCCTATTGTGCACAGGCTTCAATCCAGAGAATATTTAATTTATGAAATATAATAATTTAGGGGCTTTAATCCACTATTATTTATTTATTTAAAAAAAATTCCAGTGTATATTCCTCCAGGAGCTACTGGTTGATGCTTAAAATTGAAATGACCAAGATGGTTATTAAGAGTCTGCAAGCCCTAATTCCTCCTTGACTGATAAACTAACCAAAGCCAGAGCCAAGGCTAGATCTGCCCCTGATCCTCCTGTACTTGCAGGTATGAGACGGAGCTGTCCCTGAGGCAGCTGGTGGAGGCCGACATCAACAGCCTCCGCAGGATCCTGGACGAGCTGACCCTGTGCAAGTCCG